AGCATCTACTTCACAGCATATCCGAAATACTTTAGTATACCTCTGCTGGTTCACCAAACTCCCAATCCAGATAGCCCGGTAGAACTTATGACCGGTCCATTGGTATATCAGATCAGCCTGATATCCTTTTCCTTCAGTTCACTTTGGCAGCCTGGTTGGTGATACCCCCCACCTAGAGGTTTTTGTCCGTCTGGCTACTTCGACCTTGGTATCTGTTTCATAAGGCTAGCCTTTACAGTAGGGCTGTTGAAGATCTGGCTACCTCTCTACTCATGTCTTCTCAAATAGACTTCTTGTTATCCAATTTCAACGAATTTACATGATCACAAGGACTTATCTAATGTTTGCACTACTCAATTGTTGAATTGCATTTTTTTGTATAATGCCATACTTATACAGATGCCCCATGACCTGCCAGTTATGTTAGTGTGACTGCCATTACAAGTATCCTAACCCAATTGTTAATAACAGTTGCTATAATATGAATATTACATAGGTGATTATCCAAATTTTCGTCATCGATGGGATTTGAACACCCAACCTACCACTTGGAAGGTTGACAACCTGACTACTTCACTAGGTCACCACACTCCTAATAGTTCAAAATTTTACTATAATAGATAAATTATTTTATTTATATTTTATAAAATTTTAATAAAAATTGATTATAATTTAAAAAAGTTTTATAAATAATATATATATAAATTTTAAAATACTATATAAAACTATATAAAAATGATCTATGTACTCTTTACTCTTAAATCTAAATATATATATGTATTTTTTAGTATTAAACAAGCTTACTTAGTATATAAAGTTAGAATTAATTAATAAAATTTTAAGAATCATAAGATTTTATAGAATTTTGTTAATAAAATTTTATAAAATCTTATTATTCTCAAGATATTACTAATTAATTCTAACTTAATATACTAAGTAAACTTGTTTAGCACCTAAATTTTGTCAAACTGATAAAATTATTTTGTCATATTTGAAATTTGATGAGAAGTTGTTTAAATTTAAATTTTTTGATTAAAAATTTAAAATTAATTATATTTCTTTCAAATTTTAAATAAAACAAAAATAATTCTACTAATTTAACATAATTTTAGATGCTAAACAAGTTTGTCTAGTGCACAAACAGTGTGTTAGCAGCAATAGATGAATAAAACAATAGAACAATAAAATAGAGCAATAGAATTTAGAATAGAATAAAATTTTTGTTAATAAAACAAAACATTGCCAACAATTAAATATTAATATAGCAATAAATAAATAGAGCAATAAAAATTAAAATAGAAAATAATTTTATTAATAAAACAAGAAATTGACAACAATATATAAAGTTATAATTAAATTAGTAAAATTTCAAGAATTATAAGAATTTATATAATTTTACTAATAGAATAATAGAAAATCTTATTATTTTAAAAATTTTACTAATTAATTCTAACTTAATATACTAAGTAAACTTGTTCAACATTTAAAATTATGTCAAAGCAGTATAACTGGTTTTGTCTTACTTGAAATTTTAGTTTATTAAATTATAATTTAAGAAGTATTCTTGTCTTACTTGAAAAGAAGATGCTTAATTTTGGATTTTTGATCAAAAAAAATTCAAATTTAAGCTTATCATCTTTAAATTTCTAGTAAGACAAAAATAATTCTACTGGTTTGACATAATTCAGGTGCTTAAAAAATTTTACGTAGTATAAGAAGTTAAGAATTAATAAATAAAATCTTGAGAATAATTAAGATTTTACAGAAAATCTTATTATTCTCAAAATTTTACTAATCAATCCTAACTTTATGCACTAAGTAAACTTGTTCGGCACCATCAAATACACATATATTTAGATTCAAACTAGTTTGCACCAAACCTCCATTACATAGCTAAACTGTACTTATTAATATATACGATTTTTGTTTCATAAAAAAATAGAACAGTGTCCACTGCCTTGTTGTACAATATATCAATATTTGATGTACTTTAAAAAATATTGATATCTGATATATAATCCTACGTTCGCTAAAAACCTAATGCTACTTTGGGCAACTTTTCAGCCCTTTAACACCGTATGCGTAAAGTAAATGAGACTAGTGTGAATGCTTTTATATTTTGAACCTTATACCGTAAGGATATGAACTTTGTTAATGTTAAAGTAACGGAGGCGGGCTTAACTGTAACTTACTCTGATGCCAACAAATTAAATCATCCCGACACGAATCCAAGATCTGACGAAAAGGGTGGTATTTTCTCTTATAGAATAATTGCAAAAGATGAGAATAAAACTATTTTATATAGTACAAAACTCGGTAGTGCACTCGGTAGTGCATTAGAGCAACAAGGAATTAAAGTTCCAAAAGGTACATATAGGAACTGCTAATCTTTCTGGTGATGATATAACTTCTAAGTACCCTATTTTTCTATTTCAGCTATTTTAACTGATTTACCTGAGGGTTATGCGCTATACGAACATATTAAGCAATATCCATCAGATGAATCGGGTGAAGCAAAACCAATAAGGAAAGACACATATTTGTTTGGTAAGTTCATTAATTAATCCCACTTCAAGAATAAATACAAGTCTGACTTTATATTTATAGGTAATGGTTCAAAGTACCGTTCACCTGCTGAATTTGAAGAACATCTTTTATGGTTAGCTTCAGATAAGGCTTCTTCCTGTCGTTGTAGATACTGCGATAAAGGATGGAGTACGGGCTCGGATCTGGATTCAACTCCACGCAAAAAAAATGATGTGGATTCTCATCTTAAAAAGACAATTAAGTCAAATGTACTTCAGAATGAAGCTTTAAATTTGGCTTCATCATCTAATTCAAAAGTACGTCAAAGCGAAATCACATCCAAAACTTCTTCAATACAAGAGAGAAATCTTAAAGGATCTTTGAATTTAGTATCATCATCTAATTCAAAAGTACATCAATTTGGGATCGCATCAAAAACTTCTTTAATGCAAGAGAGAAATCTCAAAGAAACTTTAACATCACCTAATTCAAAAGTATATCAATTCAGGACCGCATCAAAAACTTCTTTAATGCAAGAGAGAAATCCCAAAGAAACTTTAACATCATCTAATTCAAAAGTACATCAATTCGGGATCGCATCAAAAACTTCTTTAATGCAAGAGAGAAATCCCAAAGAAACTTTAACATCATCTAATTCAAAAATACATAAATTCGGGATCGCATCAAAAACTTCTTTAATGCAAGAGAGAAATCCCAAAGAAACTTTAACATCATCTAATTCAAAAATACATAAATTCGGGATCGCATCAAAAACTACTTTAATGCAAGAGAGAAATCCCAAAAAAACTTTAACATCATCTAATTCAAAAGCACATCAATTCGGGATCGCATCAAAAACTTCTTTAATGCAAGAGAGAAATCTCAAAGAAACTTTAACATCATCTAATTCAAAAGTACATCGATTCGGGATCGCATCAAAAACTTCTTTAATGCAAGAGAGAAATTTCAAAGAAACTTTACCATCATCTAATTCAAAAGTACATCAAGTCGACATCACATCAAAAACTTCTTTAGTGCAAGAGAGAAATCCTAAAGAAGCATTTAATTCAAAAGTACGCCAAGTCGACGTCACATCAAAAACTTCAATACAAGAGAAAAATCCTAAAGGAACTTTAACATCATCATCTAATTCAAAAGTACATCAAGTCGATGTCACATCAAAATCTTCTTTAATGCAAGAAAGAAATTCTAAAGGGTCTTTAAATTTAGCATCATCATCTAATTCAATGGTACATCCAATCGGAGTCGCATCAAAGGCTTCTTTAACACAAGAGAGAAATCCTAAACAGTCAAAAAAATTAATTAGTATGTATCGAAACGAAGAAATTGTTTGGGGTGATATAGAATATATATTGAACTCAAGTCAATATGAGCCCTTATCTGACCAAGTCGGAGGCGATCAGATAAAGTACTGGCCAGCACTAGTTCATCAACGATTAAAAGAACAGCATGATGATGGATTTGAAATATTATATACCTTAAAGCCATTAATGTTGTCTGGAATAATGAATTTATCATACAAATCCATCCTACCATGGTTGGCCTATGATGCTTCAAATTCAATACAGGCGATTGAAAAGGCGATACATAATGATAGTCAAATTCATTTATTAAGGAATACGAAACGAGGTGAACTAGCCAGTGCTTACCTTAAAGCCATTAAACGGGCAAAGGAAGTTGCTTCAACATTCACCACATCACACCAATATAAGTATACTCTACCATCTTCATTTTTCGCAAACATTGAGAGCGCAAGTGAAAAAAGATTATTACAACAAATGGAAACATATCCACATTACAGAAAAATTATATTAGGCACTGAAGTATTGCGAGAAGATGATTATGTTCGTTTGACACGTGCTTCATATAATTCTAGTGACAGATTACCGATTTTTAGAATAAATACAATTTTTTTAAATGCTTTAAATAAAATTCAACTAAGCGGTGAGATGTTTATCAGAGGTCCATTGAAGAATGGAGAGAATGTACCAACTTTAATTCGAATGAATAAAGAAAAATTTGAATATACATTGGATTTATCCGAAATTGCTGGGAGGTACTATAAACTGCACCCAGGCATCATTCGTAGCATGTCTATTACTATCCCATTGCCATATGCTGATCGGAAATCATTAGTTGACGAGGCTTTAAAGCAGGATGTATCCGAGACTGGTCCAAAGAAACAAATGGCCAAACGATCAATTGCATTACCACCATTACCATATTTAAGCAACAAGAAATTCAAGGCTAATGATGATGGATCAGTAATTCGTAATAATACTGTTATTTCTAATGCCTTTGCACGGGATACGTCTCAAAAGTCGAATGTTCCTACCGTCTCTACCACTTCGATCATTCCTACTACTTCCGCTACCCCTGCTACTTTCGTTATTCCTGCTACTTCTGTTACTTCTGTTCCTCCCACTACTTCTGTTACTCCCACTACTTCTGTTACTCCCACTACTTCTGTTACTCCCACTACTTCTGTTGCACCTACTACTTCCGTTACTTTCGCTACTTCCGTTACTTCCGTTACTCCCGTTACTCCTGCTGCTTCAGCTACTTCTGCCACTACTGCTTTTCCCATTTCTACTATTTCTGCTGTTCCCAATATTTCTGCTGCTACAGTTACATCAACTACTTCTGATGCCACTGTTATCTCTACTTCTAATTTTGTTACTTCTAATAATATAAAAGTTACTGTAATAGTTTCTCCAACTCTTTCATTTTTAGATGAATCTGATACAGAAATATTGGCTACAAATTTTGATTTATAAGTTAAAAAAAGTTTATTAAGATTCTTTTGTAATATAGATGATACCATTAATAAAATATATTAACAATCAATTTATTTAGAATAGGTATTATTATATTGCAAGAAATTCTTTATTAATAGTATATATATTATATTTTGATTAACTAATTTAAATAGACTTTTGCAATATTGTTATATAAAATTACATTTTAAAAAATTATTATATTGTATTAAAATTAAAATCTGAAAATTGTTTATTATAATAATAAAAAGTTTTATTAAGAAAAATTATAGGCATCTTTGGCCAGAAATGTTTAGCTTATTTATTTTTAGTTTAAAATAATGTTTTGGTTAACTGATTTCAATTTGGTTGAGGTTGATGTAAGGAAAAATATTATAGACAAAATTTCTTTTGATATTTTTTATTAGTATTTAAACATAGTTAGATAGTCATTTTTTGTATGTTTTTTATTTTGTTGTTTTGGTTTTATAGATGATCATTTTTTGTATTACTAAATCATGAATTTTAATTGGCTATTTAGACAGAAGATAATTGAGCACTCTTATTAAAAACAAATATATAACTTTTTGTCAAAATATTACATTATATTATATAAGGTAAAAACTTAATTGTTAATAAATTAACAACTATATATAAAAATTTAAAAATTCTTTCTGTAGATTATTAAAAAACAAAAAGTAAACAAAAATTGGTATCAAAATATTGAACATATTAATTAAAATATAACAAAAGATACTCAAAAAGAAAAAATAAATTTTCAAAATATCTAAAACTTATTCAATATAGTCAAAAAACAAAGAACTTCAAACACTAAACTACAAGACTTCAATACTTTACTTATCACTGATTTAGTACTGTTATCTTTACAGATAGATCTCTATAAGATTCCAGTTTAGCTAAATATTCTAGTTATATTTGTTACATCTTAAGCTTCTTAAAATGAAAAACCCAAAGAAAATACAAAACTAGAAACAAACTCTTCTTCTTTAAAATAAAATAAAACTAATAACTTTAACTCTTCTGTTTTCTTTATACCTTATTTCTATTAAAAAAATTTAACAAAAAATGAGCAATTTAGTTTATTTCTTACAAAATTTCAAATAACATTAAATACTATAGCTATCAAAACAAATATGTTCAAACTAGTAAACTTTTTTATACTTTAAAATCCTTTTATTACATTATCTAATCTGATATACTTGATATTAGTATTTAATAGTTTTATTTCAAAAAGCAACCTATAGAACTCTAAACTAATTATACTTATAAAAGCTCTATTATTCTAATTAATTATAATGTTAATTACTTATATTAACAATATGAATACCATCTTTAATATTTTTAATAACTACTAATCTGTTATTACTAAATTATATAGCAAAGCAGTAATATCTAATTTACCAAAAACAAAAAACAATATAACTTTTAATTAGTACAATATTGTAACTAAAACTTCTGTCTTAAAATAAATAATTAACTTTGAGCTTTAAATTTAAAACAATAATAAAATGATTAAAACTCTTACTAACAAACAACAACTTCTCAAATTCTTTATTTATAAAATCTAAACTATCTCTTCAAATTATAATATTTTATATGCTATTAACTAAAAATTTAATTATTTAAACACAACATTTTTTACTTATTTATAAGAACAAAAGGTACAGTTTCTTAATACCAAAAAAAATTTAATTTATTATACCAAATTGCTCTTAAAAAATATAAAAGTTGTATAATATTATTTTAATACAAATTCAACAAAGATTAAATTCACAAAAAACTTAAAATTAAACTCATTTTAGATTATATTAGAAACTTAAATTTTCTTATAACCAGTTTTCATAAATATACAAAACACATATTTTATTACCTTAACTTTGTACAAATTCTTTGTGTATTTACCTTTGAAGAAATATACAAATTCTTCAATAAAGCATGTTTTTAATTTCTTATCTTACTACTAACTTCTCTAGACTTAATTGATCAAAACATAAAAAAAATACTCTTCTTTCTACTTTTAATTAAAGATAAAAAATATATTTAAGTAATAATGCTAATATTTTATAAAATATATATTTTTAATCAACTTAATAACAACTACTTTGCTAATCCTAATATTCTTCTATCTGACAATTCAATTGATCTAAATGCAGAAACACATGCAATGTTTTTAATAACAAGCTGATCTGAACTACCTTACTTAGCAAAATACAAACAAAAACTACACAACTATTATAACTTTGAATATATACCATTCAACTATTTCAACCTATTATCTACTTAAAAACCCTTATTATTAATATTTTAAAACCTTAACTCAGCTATAAAATACTTTTTTCCTTGCAATTCTAAAGATGTAACTAATTTTAAACATTATATAAATATTTTTTAAGAGCATTTCAGTTTTTATAAAATTTCAAATGATTACTTTATCCAAAAAAAACTATTTCCAAAAGAATCAAATTAAATTAAGACTACTATCACATATAATTTTTCTATAACTGATTATCATCTGACAAAAAATTTTTTAGCAGAAATACAAGATATATATAAGTTTAATATTTTACTATTACTATAGTATATGACTGTAAATCTTATAAACAAATCTTAACTATCTATAGATTCTAACTTAATTATAAAGCTTAACTTAAACTTCTCTATTATAAGCTCCAAAATTCTAGTAAAAATTACTAGACAGCTTTATACTTATTATTTTTTCTACCAACTATCTACAGAATAGATTTTAATCAAAAATACAACAAAAAAAAAAACACCAAACCAAACTTTTTTTTAAGTTTATCTAAAATTCAAATATGTCTAAGAAAACTAAATTAATTCTAAATAATCCAACTACTAATAACAATACACAAACAGATAGTGAACAATATCTCTTAACTTTACAACTACTTTTCTTTTCAAGAATTATCTTTATATTTTTTTAAACTTCTCAATCAAATTGACTTTCATTAGGATATCTTTGATAATTACTCTTTTTAACTATAAGTATTATATAATCAAAACCTAATTTACTATATTCCCAAACAGACAACAACAACTTAACTAAAATACTAAATACCTTTACAAACAACTTTACTATAAATATTAAGAATTATCTTAATATTATTATTTAAAATACACAAAAACTTAATGATCTACTAAACTACAAATTTGGCTTGAATACTATATTAAAAATAATTACTACATAGTTTTTATTATAGAAACTAAACTAAAAAACTCTTCTTTTGCAAAACTTTCTAATTTGCTATATAAAATTTACATATTGAACTTCATAACTAAAAACAACTCTCAATGTAAAGCCAGCATAGATACTACAATTATATTTTATAATTTATTTCAACCTTATATATTCAATATACAAACTGTTTTAGACACTGCAATATGCATTAATTTTTATCTTTCTACTAATAACAAACTTTGTACAATCTTATTATACCTACCTTTAAACCATCTTGAACAGCTTAAACCTTTACAAAACACAATTATAAATTGGCTAACTCAAGCAAAAAGCAATAATTGGTATATAATTACAATAGAAGATTTTAATAACAACTTCAACTAACATAAATGATCAGCAAATCTATTTTCTATACTTCAATCTTTATCATTTACAAGCTTACTAAAATTTTATACTATAACTGAATCTATATAGCAAAGAGGCTCAAATAAAAGTCAAATTAATAACATATGAGTTAATTCTGAAATTCTTCTAAATTTTACTTTATCCTCAATCACTGATTTAGTTAATATTATAAACAGTAATTATAAAATAATTACTACTACTTGAAAGACAAATTTTAACTAAAAATATCTAGATCCAAAATAAATATATATCTTTATTACCAAAAAACAACAGACATATAGGAAGACTTTGCTAACAAACTAGAAACTAAAGTCAAGTTAATATATCTAATTTATAATATTATAACATTACAATAATTAAACAATCTTTGAAATAAATAATCAAATTCAATTAAGAAAGTTGCAAATCAAACTATACCAAAAACCTATATTGTTTTTAAAAAACATCAAGTCTATTCTCTTAAAGCAACCAAATTAAATTTGGCATTCAAACTAATAAACAAATGTTTTTCTATTTTGAAAAACAACAAACCTTCAATTTCAATTTTTTTTATAATACAAAATCTTAATAATTTATTTTAATAAATATTATTATATTCAGAACAAACTATTTTTCTATGCCAAATACAGGACTTAACATTAAACTTCAATAACTTTTAGCAAACTTTAAAACAACTTAAAAAAATCTTATAAAAAGCTTGCAGTCTAAAAATCTAAAGTGCATAAAAAGAAAAGACAAATTTCTATATATAATAAAGTTATAATGACATTGTTACAGGGTTGTAGTCTTCTTAGTACAATACAATCAAATAACAAGGTTATCTGATAAAGTGATTGACTATTACAAATATATATAAAATAAAGATGTAGTAGTTTACTTTACTACACAATGGCAGGCAAATAGTTCAAAATAGTAACAATATATAGATTAACTTTATTAAATAAATATACAGTGACAACCTTGTTTGTAAAAATTATCCTAAAAAGAGAATATTACTTTTACAAGTTAAAAATAAAGATAGAAAGGTCTAGATTGAAGTATAGAAACTTAAAATTAGCAGAAAAAAAGAAAAAGTATCTTTTATATATCTTTTTACTTAGTAAGAATAGTTGGAGATTTGAGCAACATTACTTGATACTGTACTTAAGGTAATAGGAGTTCAAATAACATTAGATATTATTATACTTGGAACAGTAAAGATTCAAACACATTAAATGATACTGTGCTTGAGATAGTAGAGATTATATAAAGGCAACTAGAAATATTGTTTATATCATTTGTTATTTGTGCTTAAAACACTTGAAGCTTGTGTTTAGATACTTGAATCTATACAAAGGCACTTGACTTGAAATTTGTGCAGAGATATTTGAGGTTTGTGTAAAGACACTTGGGGTTTGTG